TAAACACAAGCTTTAGATAATAATTGAAGAAATTAGTATTGGAACGACAAAATTGCATGACAATGTGCATATTTTTCAAAATATCAAGATTGGAGAATGAGAGGCAATCTACAACATGATGTAACTTGAATGAAATTAAATGTGCTATGAGTAACTAGATAGTGAATTATGGTAAATTAATATTGTTTGTTTACAAATATTTTTGTCGTTGTTGAAAAAAACATCTCATGTTTGTAGATTGATCGTACATTGATGTTTTTCATGTATTTTAGATGATAGCTAAGAGCGCAACAATGTTATCAACTTCATAATCAATTTCAAAACATCAAATAGATATACTTCATGTATGAAAAAAAACTGATGAGTTGATAAATTTAAAATAACGCTAGCTTCATCATTTGACAAATAAGATAAATAAGAATTGTTATTGTGCAATATGTGAACGTTGCGAGTAGATGTTCATGAGTATATCAGAGCAATCATCAAAGATTCGCCACACCTAAACGTAATCATCAATTGCATGATAGTTAGAAATAGATGCAACAAATATTTTGTTCAATCGCAATAAAATCATTTTTTTGGGTTTAAAGTTATTGTCAAAGATGCGACAAATCTAACTGCAATCATCAAATGCATTGTAGCTACGAATTGATGCAAACAAATATTTTTTGGTATGACGCCACTATCAACAATTTTTGCTAAATTTTTTTAGTTTACCAATGAAAGTAGATGTATAAGAAATCATCATTTTCAGATTGTGTACTTTTTGATTACATTCAATAATGCATTCAATTTACGTTTATATATTAAATTTGTGGTGTTTAGCTATATGTTTAATCTAATCTATATCGTTTTTTAAGACAATTATCTCAAATCTACTTCTACAAAAACAATATAGCAAGTGTTCATTGGAGTTTGAAGATAAATTTGATTGTATGAAAATCATCATTTGTGATTTGTAATTTTGTTATCAATTTTAACAATGCATCCAATACGTATTGCAATAAAAAGCTTATGAATTTTCATATGTAGTCTTGGTCTTAATTACATTATTCCTTGAAGACAAATGACTTTAGATTGAATGTTACAAAAGCAATATATCATAAGTTTGATGAAGCTTGAAGATCAACTTAAGAACTCAAACAATATAAACATGACAATTGACAAAGCAAAAAATGTTTCCAACAATTTGTTCTATGTTGTGATTGTCATCACCAATGTAGAATAATTAATTTGCAATTATTGTGTTTTACAATTCAATCAATTACAAATTTGCTATAGCAACAACAATATTGTCAACCCACAAAAAGATACTTTCATGAACAACAACAGTTGTCTTTGTATTTGATTATTCAAGTATTATGATCAAAATTAATATTGATTTGACCGACTCATATCAAATATTTGTACTTTTGCGATGGTATGTTCATTAGATTAATCTATTAACAAAGTACATAACATCTCAAGTCACTAAGAAGTAAATCTGAAAAAAATATTGCAAGATGATGAATTTTTTCACAAGTTTTTAACATTGAACAATATAGCTCAAGATTGTAACACTGAGACTTAAAAAGTAAGTTCATTCAATGATTAAACATAAACTCTGAAAATGAAAAATGTCAAAAATGATTATCTTATTATTTACATGAATATTTAAACACATACACAAAAGTAAATGCTACTTTCTATCATACAATATATTTATCATACAATATATTTATAATGGATTGATAACATGATTGATATTTATGATAAGCATCGGTATGCTTTTCATATCTATCAATCATGTCATCCAATAACACAGTAACTAGTATAGTCAATCGTTACTTAACAAAAACATAAAATGTATAATTGTTGTTGTAAATTCACACATTTACCCTCTAGTTATCAAGCTCAAGGATTACTAACGTGACAACCATGTATAGTTTACTATAATATAATTATATCATCATCTTGCGTAATATTTACTTTAGATATAACTAACTCAAGATGATTACAAAGATGTGAAATTGATCAAGTAACATTTGCAAGTTTTGTGATCACTATGGTATTCTGTAATCATATTATAATATAGTTTTTCATCATACCACAAACATTTTCAGCCATATGAAGATAAATCAAATTATCATACCCGGTAATCATCAAAAACATCTATAAAATTGATGAAGAACAAAAAAAAAACATTTTGTAATTAAGAAGGAGATATGCCAACTCATCAAATTCATCATTGAAAGTAATCGTGAATAAAATTTTACAATATTATATCAGATCTTTGTTGAGCTCATCAAGTTATAAACAATTAAGAAAAATACAAATATAATCAACAACTCTAGCAGCTTCAAGAGCCAAATCATCAAAATTATTCTGAAGATTATTTATAAGTTTGATAATTGATCATTTTTTTTATAACTTCGTCAACAATCTATGTAATCTCTAGGAATAAAACCTACAATGACATTTGGAAGTAAATTTGCAAATTTTGCCAAATAATGGAGGTTTATCAAGATAAATACAAACTGCTAGTTAAATTAAACTACTATATCAAGTGGAATGGAGACTTCACAAGCAAGCTGAACCAATATCATACTATAGACTTTTGACAATTTGATGTTGATGCAAAAGCTTTATGTGCTTTTTTTTTTTCCCATCTACTCCTCGCAATGCCATAGTGGAGCACTTATTATTTCAAGATTCATCATCAAAGACAAAAATTTGTAACCGCATGACGGAAGATTACATAAAATGCTTTTTATCTTCCAATTTAACCTTAAACTGCCTTCTAAATCATAGTCAAATTCATTAACATTATTCTCACTAGATCAAGACAATTCATTTTGCATAACACTTGAAAAAGCGAATTCACAAGATGAATTGACTTTGGAAAATCTAGAGTTTATTTAACAACAATGATGATTTTCAGTAAGATTTGTACATGTATTGATTTTGCTAAGTAGCACCAAGATTCTTCATCAAATGTTACCGAAACAGCATTGAAGATCAAGGTGGAAATAGTAGATGAGTATGATTGGAGTGTAGATGATTTGTCGTTATGCAAATTTACGTAGTGTGGTAGAATACATCATCAAGATAAGAGAAAGAACATGTATATATATATATATATATATATATATAGATCTATAATTTGTATGTATTACAAGCATGCAGTCTGATCTAGAAACATAGTATGGTCATGCTTAAAAAAATGTTGTTATGCCTCTAATTTTGCTTATCTCATGCAAAAATGTAGCTTAGGTATCCAAGTTGAATTTAGATTACTAAAATTTGGCATTTTATTTGTAGACATTTGAATTGTCAAAATTAATCTGATAAATCTGATATGATTAATCATCAAATCATCATACATTACAAATAAGTCCATAGAGCACTCTCGCATAAGCAAGCAAAGGAAGTAGGGAGTTATGATAAGATAGAAGTTGCAAATCTCAAACTCTCGCATGCTTCTAAATTGACAAGAAGTTGTAAATAGGTGCACAGATCTTGGTTGCATTAACTCAATAGTGTTGAGCAAGAAAGAGAAGAAGTAACAAAAACATTGAGCAATGGAGAGCAAGTTGGTAAAATAAAAAAGGGAAAAAAATAGTTTGCATGCATTTCATTCATTTTTTCATTACTTTCATATCATTTCTACAGTACTTTCGTTTGTTCAGTGTGAGTAATTTCTTGGCTACATTATAAGGATCCATGTGCTTTTTTATTTTATTTAATCAACGTTTCCAAATATGATGTGGGTTAAAGGGTACTTTTCCAAATGAGAGAAAGATGTCTTTCAAGTATGCTTGGCAAACCTTTTCTTGGTGGGTAATATGCATGAGAAGGAATTCAAAAATACAAAACAATTATCGCCAAGTCAATAGAAGGAAAAAAGTGAAATGAGTGTTAATGACAAAATTTATAATTTTGTTGGTCAAACATAGCATTTGCCAAAATTTATGAGTCATGGTTTCTGTTCAAGAACTAGTGTTAAACCCTGGTATAAGAATCGATATTTTCTTCCACTATTAGAGCAAAATCTAATGCAATCAAGAACTAAAAAGAGAAAGAAACTAATACCAAAGAAGTGTAATTTGGATCGAATGATGAGAGATTCAGATCGGTACACAACAAATAATCAAGATGACATCAGACCAGCGAAGATGGAGGAGGTTGTTCTTTATCTTGAAAATATAAATTCCATCTCCGGTCACAAGGTCAATATTGACTCTAGATCGTCAGAAGACTGTGTGTGAAGAATTTGCATGTAACGGTATCACTTAACCTTAAGCCCTCGGCTAAAGTAGGTCGAACACCATTGATGACTTCATCGGAAGAGACAGTACGGAGCTTTGGAAAGGAAACGACCGAGCGCGAGGAAGGACCGAGTACAACAAACATGAGATGGGGCTATAGTTCGAGGCAGGCAAGACTCGAAACACGCGAAAGAGAGGGGAGACGCATGGAACCACATCGGCTCAGGCGCAGAGCGAACAAGGGGTCGGAGAAGGGTTAACCAAGATCGTACCGACTGTACCGCGGCAACGAGGAGCCCATCGCAGGGAGGATACAGTCGGAGAGAACGGACAGGGCGAGGAGACCGCCGGGACCAAAACACCAGGAAATCGGTCACTCGGCTCGCACACGTCAGCGAAATACCTACGCAGTAGGCTTGCAGATAAATACAAAGAACTGGTGGGATCATGGATGGAGAGGAGCGATGGAACTGGTCGAGAGAAAGCGGCATATGCGAGATCCATCTGTTACAGACGGCGTCGTCGGATCGCAGATCGAACGGGCTCGAGGCGCCCGGGATCGGGGAGAGTTAGCTCGCCGATGCACCCTAGAGACGAGCCAGCGGATGGACACAGAAGTGTCGCCAGCCATCGTCCGTCCGTCAGAAGCCTCGCGCTCCGTTGCCGTCGGAGGGAGCTGCCGCCGAGATGCCGTAGGACCCGCAGACCCACCCGCAGGCAGGAAGGATTATTCGTCCCTCCCCTGGTTGGGCTGCCCTCGGGCTGCCCCGGGTTGCCCTGCCCTGCCCTGCCCTTGCCTTGCCTGGCCTGGCCTGGCCTCACTCCCTTCGGCCCCCATCTCGCTCCTTCGTCGGGTTTTGCTTGCTCGCTTTCCCCTCTTCTCAGGCTTCAAACCTTGCGATCGACCCTGATGCACCTTTTTTCCCCTTCCTCCACCTGCTTTCATTGACATCGCGCATTCCTCTGTGCTGCTGCCGAGCGCTTTGCTTCCATGCTGGCTTGGCTTTGAGAGGGAAAGAGAGAAGAAGGGACGGAAAGCGAGGGATCCGCAGACGAGCTCGTCGGAGCGCAACCTGGAGGAACTCGAGAGAGGGACATAGCTTCGATTGAAAGGGGAGGGAGGGTGTGAAGAACGGGGGGCCGGGAGGGAAAAAGGTTGTGTTGAGCTCAGTGTTCGAGGAGAGGTTAGGTATGGTGGATGAACGGAAGAGAGGGAGGAGAGCTGAGTAAACGAATAGCTCAAGTCAGTGGACGAGTGAGTGAAGAACGCGGAGGCTTGTGACTTCTGGCTAGCTGTGAGCGGGGAAAGTGCGGAGAAAAACTCTGGCCCTCGTTACAAGAGCATCAGTCTTTGCTGTGAGTACTGCTGTGTCGATGGCTCTCTCCTCCATACTCGAAATCAGTGCTCTAGGTTAGCCAGGGTGTGTCTCGGGTGTTCGTCTGGAGAAACTTGTATCTTCGTAATCCCTCATTACGGCTTTGTGCCTTTTGTCTACCTGGTCTGGTGATGTGTTTCACATCTTAGGTTGTGCTGCTAACTCGTTAGCGTTTGCATCTGTTTTTATAATCAATTTCCCGCCGAAGTTTTATTGGGGTCCTCCATATTATTCGCAGTACTTTTCACGTTCTGTCTTGATTAGTGTACATTTTGAAATCTGTAAGTGAACTGAGGCAGTCATGTGTACCAGGTATCATGTGGGATAGGATATGTTACAGAACGAATCGATTGTAAAGACGAGATGCAAATTAGATGCTTGAGCACGACTCCATCATGTACTTCCCGTTTCGCCATGATGCCAATGTCAAAGAGGTCCGCACTCACCACTTAACTCCTGCTGCTCTGTTTTGCGTATGCAAGGATCTACAAGACAGTCTTTAACTGCAGGTGATGTCCTTTGCGTATTCCCTAGCTATAGCATGCGATATGAATTTTGTTCATGTATGTAACTTAACAAAATAGAGAGATGTAAGTGAAGCTATCGATTAGCTATGGGACATTGACGCACGTAGGATTAGTTCGCCTTGGGTAGTTGCCGTGCACTACCCTATCCCGCTGCCGGACACCTTATATTGAGATTTGGAGATCTTCACTATTAGGTCATGAAGCCAAAGTACTCTCGAAGATGGACGTTTTACTCATTGGATTCTGGCATACTCACAGGATATTCTGGAATTTTTGTACAATTTAAAGATGGAGCAGTTTAAACTTGGTCCGATTTGAGGCCCTTTTTTACGTAGTTCGTTACATCAGTTGGAAAACGAGAAGCACTGTCATTGTGGAGCCAAGCAATACCTTTCTTCAGTTGGAAAAGAGAATCACTGTCATTATTGAGGCCAATCAGTTTCGATTTGTAGCTGAGGATAATTTTGAATCCTTATGGTAGACCTGATATGTTACTTTTGGAATGTTACTTTATGCAGTCTATGCTTAACAGCTCGGCGTCAACTTTGCTCGACTCTGGCAGTTCTGCGAGACCCTTTGCCTCTTCTTTTTCAGCACAGTCAGCATCATCTCCGGTTTTCCACCACGGAGGTAAGCTCTCATAGGGGACTTTGAATTTGCTGTAGAATGTGGAGCGATTGCACTTCGAGTTCTACTTTCGACACTGCACACGTTTTACTCTTACTGGATTTGATTGCAGTACAAGGCCTGCACAATGCCACATACAACCTGCAGTCAGTACCAAACGCAATGTCCAGTAGAAATCCGGGGTTGGGGGGTGGCCCTTCAAGTGGAGCGCACCAACCGGCAGGAAGCTTACCTTCAGGGCGGTTTGGATCCAATAATCTGCCGGTTGGATTGTCACAGGTTCATGCACCCATGCCTGTCCATACGGAGCTGAAAATTTTCTACATGTAGTATCCAATAAATTTGAGATTGCTTCTCAGCCAGAGTTTAGTCAGTCTTGAAGTTCTCTACATATAGCCATTTGGACATCAGCAATGAACATTCTCTTTCTTACTTCGACTTTCTTGCTTGCAGTTATCGCATGGGGCCATTCATGGACATTCTGCAATGACAAGTCGAGCAGGTATTAGCGTAGTTGGAAATCATGCTTTCAGCAGTAGCATGAATGGGGTTGGAGGTTCTGGCCCTGGAGCAGCTCCAGGAGCAGGTTCTGTTAGTAATCGGGGAGCCATGGCAGGTCTGGGTGTTTCTCCTTCTCAAATGGGGGTTGCTGGACCGAGGATTGCCAGTTCTGCTGGAAACATTGGAGCTGGAGCAGGTGTTAGTTTGACTGGTGGTGGCAATCTTAGTAGAAGTTTAAATTCGGGTGGTGGCCTAAGCGTGACTAGCTTGAATGGGTCTCGAGTGAATATGGGCCCTCTTAGCAATAGTGGTGGGATTGGTGTACAAGGGCCTGGACGGCCCGTTAATTCTATGCTACCGCAAGGAGTTAACATATCTTCATCAACGTACAGTCCATCGGGCGACCTTTTGGCTATGATCAGCAGAGGTACTTTTCCTGTGGATAACTTATGACCATTGCTGTGGTCCTGGAATTTAAACTTTGATTAACTTACTCGTAGTTGCTCTTAACTTCATTTATCTTTTGTTCTCTCTAAACTTAAGTTCTTCCTATTATCACTCCCAGCGTCGAGCTCCAAAGAATTTTAGTCTCGTAGTTGAATTCTGCAGTCTATGAGTGCAATATCTGCTAATTCTTCCCGTCTTTCAGTTAGGTTGTGTGTTGTGAGTTGTTACACGCTCTTGCTGCAAACAAAATGGGAAGAGGAGGTTGCATGTTGCTAAATATGATTTCAGGTTTTGAATCTATGGATGAGATTCCAAGAGTGCGACTGTTATACAAAACTTGACTGTTGATTATTGGCCTCCTCATCCATATTTTGTTTTTTTGACTGGTGATGGTTTCCTATATGTGGAGTATGATATATTTGTCGCCATCAGATGTTACTGGCTTCCTTTCAATCCTTGTGTTGCGTTGGTCTGTGTTTCTAAGGCCATTCTCGACTTTCTAGCCCCAGTTTTTTTGTATGGCAACCCTGATTCTTTGCTCGTTCTTACTTGCGCTGTATATAGTAATTAGGAAACTTCACCTAATTATCAGAATAACTAGTTGAATTCGTGAACCACTAATCCATCCGATTTTTTCTTTCTTCCTCGAAGATTTCAGTTCTAATTGTTATTTTTCCACTCAATCTCATCGCAAAGTCACGTTTCAGAGTGTCAGCCGTTGAGTGTTGACGGAGATTCCAACTTTAAAGTGAAGGATGTACATGTATATAGGTAGTAGGACATATAATCGAGGTATACATAGAGTCAAAGATACAGTAGTAGAACATCAAAATTACTCAGAGTAGAACGTCAAGTTGCAAGTTTAATTGTAACCTGACCATTGACCTACCCATTGACCATTGGAAGTGACATACGTCATCTCCTACCATGGAGTTGGAGAGTTGCTTAGTTTTCTGTTATAGTTTGCTATAGCTTGTCAAGTTAGAATTTCAGATTTTACTGTAGCCAACTACTAGCATTCGACACAATTGGCTAGAGCGGCTTTCCGAGAGAGACAACTTACGTTGCATAGGTTTCTGTTAAAGCCTACTCAAGTTATAATTACAATATACATTACGTAATAATCCTGCCTCTTCTTTAGTGCGAATGCCGCATTTGCCTTGTTCCACTTCTTACGCTGTTTCCATAGAATCAGCATCAGTGATGTAATTCTTAAACCGTCACTTCGTGCATTAATATGGGAAGTCTACATTTTGTCCAATTACTTGTCCACTGGGCCTTAAAAAAACTCACGAATCTCATAACCGTTGATTCATACCGCAGTTAGTCCATGTCTACGTTTTAGGCATCCCTTGCTAACTAACATGAGACGTCTATCTTTCTGTCCACTTGTCCGTTAGTTTGAATCCAGTTCCAAGACACCCATCACATGAAGGTTGATTATTAATTCACTTTCTCCAAGTTTAAGTTTAAGTCGACTATATCTACATCGTATCTTTTTCACTGGATGTAGTTGGTGGTTGTTGTAACCTTGTGATGACAAATGACTTGGGTACAAGCCAAACCCTGATCATAGCTAGTCATGGTTGTAATCACACTTCTGTTTCCCTTCTTTCACCTTGGGTCGGATTGGATTCCTTGCAATTTACTTGCTCCATTCCCCGTGCAGTTGAAATGGGGACACGAGATTTCTCCACTTCAACTGCACGGAGACATGAGATTTCTCCCCTAGATCTTAGTTCTTTAAACATCTCAACACCTGTCGGTGAACTGTGTGTATTATCCTGCAAAATTTGTGGTCTTCTCATATTTTACCTGGACTTCATTGGACTCTATTGCCATCTTTCCTTGTCTTGGTGGACTTTGAATTCTTCTGAGCGCACTGGTCCCCAGCAGACATGGCTGCGGCTCCTCCATATTCAGCGAGTTCAAGTGGCTACAGGAGCCCATCTTGAAGTCAAGATCTTAAACTTAATCCTAGATTTCCTTTCGTTCTCCCAGTCGATTTCATGTTTAAGGAGTTTTATCATTGTAGCATACAATACGATGGTGGAAATTTTTAGATTTTTAGACCATGTTGTTCTTGGACTATGTTCTGACTCAGCATTAACTCACTCATATAATCGTGAACTTTCAGTCAATGTAGCTCCCACTATCTTCTAGTCCAATGTTGGTGACCTATTATTTATTCAGTAAACAATATTACTGAAATCATCACATCTTGTCTTCTTGTCTAAAAGCTTTGTTAGTTTTATACATATTCTCTGTGATCATGGTATCATAATTCTGAGTTATACGGAGTGAGTGGTATGTTCCAATGTTTTTTTTTTCAATTTGATGTTTTTGTTTACTTTCTATAACATGGTTTTTCCAAGTCCAGTCTTAAGATATCTACTTTTTTTAACTCTTTGCTTTGTCGATGAACCTTGTTTTCCCAACTGCAAGGACTGTTATGCTTTTCTTACACAACTTTTGGGGTAGGGATATAGTCCTTAAATACGACTTGAATCTTCGATTGTTGGCCCTCATACAAACGAGAACTCGTTCGGAAGTAGTGAAGGCGATGAGTAATGTGTATCCAAGTATAGCCATAATTCATGATTGTTAGTTCTTATACGACCTCCAAATTAAATAATCAGTTTCCACCCTCGCCAGTTTAGTAACATATGGTATGGTTCAGTGTGCGGAAAAGATGAAATTGAGCTTGTTGAATAACATGCTTTAAGGTCATTTCATTTATTTAGTCCTGCGATTATAACCAGCGGTTACGCAAGATAACAATCACGGTTCTTCTTCATCAACCTTCGAGCAAGAATATACGAATTTCTTTCTTCTCTTTTAGAATGAGGCTGTGCACATCTTTAGTTAATTGAACTGATTATTCTCTATACTTGAACATATTATAAATGATAGTACTACTTCATCAACCTTCGAGCAAGAATTTACGGGTTTTTTTTTCTTTTTTTTAGCATGAGGCTATGCACTTGTGCAGCTTATTGAAATAATTGTTCCCTACAACTTGAACATATTATATGAAATTGTTCTTCGCAACATTTACAGCAGATGATCAAGCTTTCAAATCATGATAAATCATTAGTGATATATTGTTATTTTTGTTGCAATGTTACAATAAAAATAACACGTTCAGCAGAGAATCACATAAAACCATGTTGTTCATATGAGGCTTTTGCTGTAATATCATGGAAAGCGAGAGCAATATTCAATTTCGACTGAGGCTCATGTCTCTCCTTACATTGAGGACTTACTAATTGGTCTGTTGGATCTTGGAGCTTACGGCAATGGGTTTGATATTCGAGTTTCTTGATTCCTGTGCAAAATGATTCTTAAGGTAAAGTTTTATGATGTGAAATGAACAATATGAGTGTTGTTGCTAGCCTGCCTATTTTTGATATTTTCAACGTTAGTTGGAGTGGATCGTATTGAATTGCATTGCGGATTTAGTTGCGTGGCCATTTTCTTCCTACACGAGCCATTGCTTGTGGTTGCACGTGTGAAATGCTTAAAATCACCGTGGAGACGGCGGGTCATCACAGGACTTGAGCGCACTGCTGTATTTCTTAACGAACTAGCTCATATTTCCAAACAAATGTTGATGTACAACTGAACTTTGGACCCAGATGGCAGGATGGATGGATTGACCACTTTGAGATCAACCCTCGATTCATAGTCATCCTATGGATGTACGCCTCCACATTACTTCATGCTTCCATTTATGGTACCTGTTAACATTCTTAGTTTTCGGTTTAAAGTTCCTTCGTTGTTTCGTCTCAACTTCACATTCCTGGGACTTCATTAACAATCACTTTATATCTGCTCTAAGAGAGTTGGATTGGATATCTTGAAAACAGTGGGAGACTTTTTCCTACTTGACTCGCTCTTGATTCTCACTGTGTAGTATTTACCTGAGGACTTCCGTCCCTGGTCACCTTTTTAAGTCAAGCCTAAGATCCACTTGGTAAATTCTTCTCACCCAAATGTAGTGCGTATTGAACGCACGACATAGTGACGATCGGATGCAACTTTTGCCTCTCCTGCTCTTGGTCGCGACAAGAAGGACGATACCTTGCAACCCCAACCAATACCTCATTGACTCTGGATTCTCATGTGTTGTCCACGGCCATCCCCAAACGATCGGGTGCAATTTTTGCCTCTGCTGCTGGTCACGAAAAGAATAAGAATAGCTTACAACCCTTACCAAAGCCTCCTGGACTCTCATGCATTGCCCGCGGCCACCCGAAAACGAGACCAATGACGACTCCTGCTGAAATAAAGGCTGAGTCACAATACATTTCTCCTCCGTCAAAGAATCCACACGATTACAGCTAACAGACATAGCACTTAGCAGCCCCAATCCCCGTTATCTACGTCTTCCTTTATCCGCTCTCTGTATGCTCTTACGAGGCCCTTGCCGCTAATGACCTAGCTGCTTGAGACAAGATTGGATTGCACCTTCTTCTCCAGCTCGCTCCGGAGATGAGCTAGACTACTACCGCTACCGCTACATATTACAGATTCGCTCGGATGAGTGAGTACTCTTTGTATGTTGGAGTGGACGAAGGATATTTCCATCTCTTCTGTCTGCTGTACGTCTGTGTGCTTCTCTCTCGTTTTCTGCAATCTTTTCGGCGTGTCTTCTCCGCAACTATTGCAGTTCTCAATTTTGTAACTTGAAGTTCACATATGTTACTTTAGCCTCGCGCTTAAGTACGCACCCATTTAAGTACGCATTAGCCTTCCACTTTAGTACGTATCTTATTTGAGTAAACTATTATTTTCCCCAAAAAATAGGGTTCAAAATTATTTAGTTCAACATCATAAATTGATATTTGGCGCAAGTTTTGAAGATTCTTGCATTTGGAAACCCGGTTTTTTGTTTATATGTCCTCATCTAGCATTAGAAGGCTGTATTTCAGTCTCTGGCAACAAAAAAAGACGGTATTGTTCATATTGTAGACGTATTTGATATCATATTGAACAATAAACGCGTAGAGGTCGTCTAAAGCTTCCAGCAATGCTATTGGATGCGAATTGTTGACTTCAACTCTCTCCATGAAGCAGCATTTTTTGCAACCCTCGGAATTGAGTGTACACGTTTATAACTTGAATGTTTCATATCGGAAGTCTAGTTTGAAACCTACATGTCTCCAGGATGTTCTAACGCGGTTAGAAATGTTGTCGTTGATTTCCTCTCCTTAACATTTTAACAACATCAGTGGAGCGTCTGAAATTTTGGTTGGTAGAACTTTGCGTCATTAATATCCTTTGTTAAGAAGTAGCAGTACAAGGAATTTTTCAATTATTCTTCTCGCCACTCAAAATAATCAGCAGTGTATTTTCTCACGTTTTTTGTCGGTCACAGTTTAGCCATTACCAGGATGACTTTAAGTCTGTTTTTGAAATTGATAAACTCAATGCAATACTTTTCGCTTAGGCGATGGCGGAATAGAAAGATTGGCATTACGCATGCTTTCGTAAAAGGATACCTTCTTTGAAAGCAGAATACCTTTTCCAACACTCTCTATTTCTGTTATAGTTTTATTTATATTAACTATAACCACTAATCTTAACACGAAGAAGGTTTGTTTGTTGAGTACTAAACCGGAAATATGTGAGGTTTAAGTTCACCAAGAATGGAGATCTTTGAATATGATTTCTGTATTTCTCTTCAGTGATTTTATAGTTAACCATGTCGGTCCTTGTTGGTCCAATAAGATGTCTCCCATAATTTCTGCGACATGTCTTCTTTATTTTGTAGAAATCACTCGCAATCGCATTGTCTGTACATAGTTTGGATATGGCTTACATTCCAACACACGACCCTCTTGGGGCTAGCCGTTGGGTTCCGTTTCTTTTTTTTCACTTTTTGAGATTGTCCTAGCATTTTGTTAACTTCGGCACAAAAATGATTTTTTCACTTCATCACTAACAACTTATGCGACAATCTTAAAGTTTTGATATTTCGGAAATGTTCTAAATTTCAACTGATCAATTCCTAACTCCGACATACGTTTTCAGAGTACTCCTTTTATTAAGGCTGTATGAAAGCTTTTTCATATGCATACTGTCAGTCCAGATGTAGAGCACGTCTCCAAGACATGCATGCGATTGAAAAAGCCAACAGAGGATTGAAAAGTTATCTCTTTAGCTTCATCAGATATTAAGACAGATCGTTCTAAGATTTGCTCACACATTTCTGATATCTACTTCACCAAATTCATACTCGCGCATTTAAGCCCTCTCGCGCGCTAGAGCCCTCTTACTGGAAGCATTCGTGTGCTCCGCGTCTCTATTATATTGCATCGTTGGGACTTATTTAACCGTTTCCGTTGGTTTTCTTCTACATTGTAGCCGAAATCAAACGATTAGGAAGTGATTGTCTAATACGCACCTACTGGCTAAGTACGCCACAATCCTCCAATGGCTAAGTATGTACAGTTCAAGTTGCGTACTTAGGCGGGAGACTACTGCACTTCTATATCAGATACTTAATATCACATGAAATGCTTTATATTACACGCTTATTAATGCACTGTCTTATGTTATGTAACACTCTATCGGATTTCTTTGTATTATACATATGACATGTACTTCGGATTAGTTTAGGTTCGTTCTTGAACCCCTAGCATGTCCACATGCAAGCGTCATAACATATTCATAATTATAGCATTTCTGGATAAAGTAATCATGCGATATACCGAGAATGACAAGGATAAATACATGTACTGCCATTTGCAGGTGTAGGAAATACTGTGTTGCTACGGGTCATCTTGATGTTACATATCGGAGTTAACACATTTTTAGTATTTCACACACATTTCAGTAAATATCGAGGTCTGCCTGAGGAGCATAGTTGAGAGAATATTACACTTGACTTCAAGATGCATTCATTCCACGTGCTTTTCCAAGTCACGGAGATGAAATTAGCTTCTGAACTAGACATGGACAAGTTGGTAGAGAGTGACCTGTAACCTGTACGTCGTCCCATGAAATGCTGCTGCCTGCTCCCGTTTCTGCAACTAATTTATTGCTTGTATTTTAGATACTCAATGTATAATTGCCTCTAAAACGTGATGATGCCACAAATTTTCTATGTTGTCTTAAGCCTAGAATCTTTCCAAGCTTTGGCAATTTACTTTTCATGTGTTCTCTAAGATTGCGAGGTCATCATTATGTGCTAAGGTGTTTTGGTTAGTTGTGATCAAGCGGGTTGTAGTTAACTTTTTAAGCCAAAGAATCAGCGTACTAGTTGGAGTCCACCTCTTACAGTTTTGATTAAATGCCGTTGATCTCCTCCCATCTCTTCTTCTTTCACTCGCTTTCCTTATTTCGATTCAGCCCGGTATGGGACCTTTCCATTTTAGGACACGAATATATTGGAGACGAAGTTTATCTTCAGTTTTTATTTTGATCTCGGTTGAGATCAGATTGATTTCTTCTTTCTCGTACTTCAGTATTTGTACCGCTCTACATCTAGGAGAGGGGATGTCCCTTGTTCACTTGATAATAGGTGAATAATTGTGGTAAATCTAGTAGGTAACGGTGAGATGGCACTAGCAATACTTCTAGAATGTGAGAAGGAGCGTTCCTAACTGTCTGATTTAGTTTCGATTTTGCTTCCTAATTTCACGTATGATGCATTCTCATCGTTTGCTATTTAGATCATTTCCCATCATATCCGCTTCTTCCAGTTTTGATTGATCAATTCTTTTGACGGTCGATGTTGCTAGGTCTATTTTCTGCTTCCATACCAACAGGACCGTGAACATGCTGTAGCTGTTTCTCTCTGCCCTTAGATAATTCTTCTTCTGTACATGTCTTCTTCAGATGTAAGGCGGAACATACTTTATTCTGAAAGTTTTTATATCCCGGCCATTGTATTCCTCCGTATTATTATCTGACTTCCCACTCTCTGATTACTCCGTTGTAATACTTTGCGGTCCAATCTGTATTAAGAGCTGACTGTAAACCTTGGCGATGTTTGATCTGGTGTTTGTTTCAGCAGCACCACAAGCTGTCTCACTGCTTGGGAGCAATTTTTCATCATCTCCAGGGTCCGGCATTCAAGTACCCTCGGCCAATGGGCAGCTTGGTACTATAGGACTAGGGAATGACGGAGGTACGAATGATGGAGTTGCCTTTGACATGAATGACTTCCCACAATTGACCACGCGACAAACTTCTGGTGGAGGGCTGCAAGGTCCTGTAGGTGTGTCCTTGTTTCCCTAACAAACTATACATTTAGTGTCTGCATTGAGGTGACCGTCAGACAACTCTCTGAAACTTAATTCAGATTATTTAGAGTTTTCTTGGTAGTTCTTGGGTTCTTCTGGGGCCGTGGTGTTTGGCTTACAGTGATGCTGTTTATTTTCACAGCTGCCCTAAGAAAGCAAGGTGTTGCTGTCAATACCATTGTTCAACAAAATCAAGAGTTTAGCATACAGAATGAAGATTTTCCAGCGTTGCCTGGCTTCAAAGGTCAAGTTTCATCCTTGTTGGATTTCCTCTTCTTTTGGTCCTTGCGACCTGTCGGAAGCATTCAAAGTCCTTTCTGTTTTTTTGCATTGTAGTGTAGCTTCTCATCCTTAAGGAACAGTGTATATATGTTTTAACTTCTCTCAGCATTTTCGTGTTTTAGATTTTTGTATACCGGTGTCTTGACATAAGCTGTTTGTCTTATTCGCAGGTGGGAGCTCTGACATGCCGACAGAAATGCAGCACAAAGATCAGCAACACGAGAACACGCTTTCCGCGATGCAGGCACAACACTTCCCGGTACACAATTGAGCAATCCTCATGACTTTTCTGTTGACTTCCATATTATATTGTCATGATTGGCTATTGGTGTGCCTGGTTGCGCGTGATGATTAAGACAGATGAGTACGTGTGTTTCTGTTGGTGTCATCGAGTAGCGATCATTTGACTTACGTGATGCTTTAAAAGATGCCGGGTCTGCAACTTGAATAGTTAGTGAACATGAATAACGTTTCTTTTCAAGGCAGATTTGAAGTATGGATTCCATTAAGTCAAGGTAGTCACATGGTATTCAGTGCAGACGGGAAGGTCAGCCGGTTTTTCGCTTGGGGGTTCGTATGTTCCTCATCGGCAACAGCAGCAGCAACATCAAGGAACTGGAGTATCATCAGGCGTATCTACAGGATCCTTGTCTGGAACTAACGCTGCAGACCTCCCTCATTTACATGCCGCAGTGAGCGACAATTTCCCATCTTCCCATGGTTTTTCAGCATCTTATCATTCCCAGGTGAACTATGCGTAAATAGGAGGCGACAAAGCTATACAATATTTAATTTACCGTCTGCCCAGAAGACACATACTAGCGACGACATAAATTTGCCATCGGCATTTGATATCCTCGTTGAGTTTTATCGTAACTTGATCTACTCTAAGACAAATTGTTTGCAGGCTCAGGCAGTTGGGACGCCAGCATCTGGAACAGCGCAGTCTTTGCGGTCAGGAGGATCTTCAGGGGTGGCTGTAAATATGGGGTCCTATGACCAGCTGGTACATCAATATCAGCAACACCAACAGTCTCAGTTCAGCAGATTAGGGGCGCATCAACAGCAACTTACGGCAGTTGGCCAGTCGTCTAGAGATATTGGGGGAAAATCTGTACAGGGGATCCAAGCTACCCCTGATCGATTTGGACTGCTAGGTTTGCTGAGTGTAATAAGGATGAGTGATCCTGACCTGACAACGCTTGCCTTGGGAACGGATCTTACAACCTTAGGACTGAATCTCAACTCCCGGGAGAACTTGTATAAAACTTTTGCATCTCCGTGGGCAGACGGGCCAATTAGAGGGGAACCGGAATTCACATTGCCGCAATGTTATAATCAGGCAGCTCCCAAGCTTCAGGTATAATCTTAGTTTTCATGAGTATTGCTCACATCACATCATGTACAGATTATTATTACCCCTTATTGTGTTTGAAGTTAAATGTTAAGAGGAGATACAGTTTTGGCGTAGACTGTATGTTCTCACACGTCATTTCGTTTTTGCAGTCTGGCTATTATGCCAAGTTCCAGCAAGATACCCTGTTTTATATTTTCTACAGGTACGGACTGTGGTAAAAAGTAGCATTCAACCGGCTTCCAACCCCAAATTTGCGTTGGTTCAGATATCATCAAAACGCTGATGTCTTTAAGTCGTATGACACTTGTCCAGCTTTTTTCGTGGAAACACTGTTGTATTTGTAACATACCATCAACTGATCTGGTGTTGGTTCATCGTGTTTCAGCATGCCAAATGACGAGGCTCAACTGTATGCTGCTGATGAGTTGTATGTTATTACTTCTGCCCTGCCAATGCATTGATACTTTCCTTTACTTTTCAAAAGGGTTCAAGGATGTACAACCAGTACGATATATTGTATAGCTGATTTTGACACGAGTGTTGTTGCACATTCCTTCAGGGTCAATAGGGGCTGGTTTTACCACAAGGACCATCACATGTGGTTTACTCGCGTTCCTAACGTAGAACCTCTTGTTAAGACAAACACATATGAGCGTGGTTCCTATTACTATTTTGATCAAAACACCTGGGAAACAGGTCGTAAGGTCAGTTTTCTGTCTTGGTCAAGCGGAAAGATGTTGGAATCATGGTTCTTTAGTTTAACCATTTCTGTTCAAGATTTTTGTATCTTGATGAGCATAAATTTTTGTTGTGCTTATTTTGTTTTTTAAATACTCAATATTCCTCAGCTTTTGATCCTTGTCTTTTTAACATGTTTGCGCGACGAGACTGATCTGAAATCGTGATGTGCTGCTGTCAGGAAAACTTTGTCCTTCACTATGAAATGCTGGAAAAGAGACCGCAATTACCTTCTCAGCATTAGCCAGCCAAGCACGTTGACTCCACCAGTTCCCAATCCAATGTAGAAGTGGCGGCCCCATGTCCTATCGAAAATCTTGTGAAGTGCAATTGCGTTCATGATCAATGTTCAATCTCTTTACACCTCAATGAACTTCGTTGGCATGCGTTTCCTTTCATTTCTGAGCATGCTTAGACTTCACACTTTCTCACTGTCCAGTCATATATTGGAGCTAATGAAGGTTAATAGGAACTCTCCCGTCTGAACCTGCCTCCTCCTGTCCCATAATCAAGGGATCAAGGTTATGGTTCTGGTGGGAATTGGGGTAGATGCTCCAGGGAGTGGTAAATTGATTCTGATACTATAAAATTGCGCTTTTTGTGGATCTGCCTCTGAACTCGGAATTTGGTGTGCAAAACAAGCCTCTTACGACGATTCTCTGTCGTTCTCGATAAATGGGGAAAGTTCATTTCTGCCTAAGATGCAGTGTGTTTAGTTGCTCTCATGTCGAGATTTGGTTTGGGTTAACTCATGTGGATTTAGCACTGCTATGGTGAAACTCCATTGTATAGCCAGAAGAACATCCAGGCTCACGGCAGTCTTTTTTTCGTTCCTTACTTGCCCATTCCGTGTGTTGTACAGAATGGATGAGGAAGTTTTGTCCGCAGAGTTTGTCTGCCCATGGTCTAGGTGGGTAATTGTATGAAATACTCTTTCCATCAAGTGTACATGATCCGACAAGATATTGGTTGGTTGCTTCTGAAGAAAGTAATAAATGTGGCATCAGCCATTTGTGTCCATATTTGTGACCTTTTTCATGATTATGTTTTATGCATGAAGAAAAGTTGTTTGCTCGCATGTGTGTGTTCTCAACAGACATGGTTAATTGTTCTATATACTCAATAAAATATCCCTTGGATGTCTGTCTTACAATCTGTGTCCGACATTGTTATCCTAGTGGAAAAGGATAACGTCTGACTACTTTTCACATCTTCCTCATCAACCTGAAATGATCTGAGGCGAATCATATCTGGAACTTCGTTTGCGATTATGATGAAAAATGAGTACTTGGGGTGACAGATTGTTTTTGCAATCAATACAGCCACTATAGTGGGTTTTCTCGCTCTTGAATGAAGAAACCTGTAACATCATTGTTTCGGGAGTTATTTTAGTGAAACGTCCGATGATTGACATGTATGGGGAAGTACAGTGTACCAGAGTTCGGAGATCATGAAGAACACGGATATAGAAATCAATTATGTCTATAGTATGTTTGACATCGATACGGAGAGAAGACACAAGTGCTCTAAGTAGGAAGTGTGTTCGCATCAGAAATATGAGTCATCACAAATAATGAGCTTACATTAATATTATGGTAAGAGACCTTCAAAATCTTTTGGTTTTTTCTGCGCAAAACCTTTTCAGAGATTTTACCAAGAGATTTCATCTTGCTTGGTAGCAATACTGGTTTCACTGGCCAGTCCATGTCATCGATCACTTGGTCTGTGATGTGACTACAACCTGGAGGCGCATGGTTTGTGTCATTTATTGCATTGTCGATGAGCATCATTACCCAAAGATATTGGAAAGGTACCAAAGCCCAAACGATATGAATCACTGGAGCTACATACAGTATTATCCATGCGAGAGCATTGTCGTGATATATCTCAGGACCAGTGCTTTCAGCAAGATAATAATAGCGAAGGACTTGTTTGCGTTCATGTGGGCTCAAGATCACCACTACAAAATGTAAATTTGACTAAAAATTCACTAGTAGTAACGATGTTCAAAATAACATGTGGCGAATAAGAACGAGACCGTTTTGATATATTTATTGGTTTATCTCGTTGTGTTAAACATAAAAATCATATTCAATTTATATATGATACATGAATAATCGATTATACATCTTCTCATCTGCCACCTTTGTATTCATCCCTATTTTCTTTTAATGTCTAAATTATAGAATAACTCTCACCAAGGAGTTGGAGAATAATATGATCAAGTTTCACATCAGGATACTAGCATAAAGCTGGGAAAAGTGAGCGCTAGAAATGTCTCAAGCCCGGTCCCATGAAAAATAATTCTTGTGATGAGTACCATAGCTAGATTTCAATTCGATGGGTTGTGATTTACTATGAAATACATACTCTCTACTTCAAGCTAAATTCAATAAGATGAATAAATGATATATATATATATATATATATATATAACTTACTTCGCCATGTGTGCAATATGTGTGTTTGAACAAACACCTGTGTCATATGACAATATGTTTGTTTAGTTATTTAGAGAATATCAAAAATTTCAAATTCGATGAGATATGATTAGTCATATCTCATCGAATTTGTGTTTGTGAGATGTAAAATTTTGATGAAAACTAACAACTTTTAAAAATCTTCTTTACAATTTTTGCAATTATATGAGACACATTCTTACTATTTGTAAGGACTTATGTTCTTAGAATTTTAAATTTAAAACACTTTGGATGAGTTGATGATGGTAAGCTTTCTTTTTCCATGACTGGAAGCATTTATAAGAGAATTTAGGTTGGGAAGATTAGGTTATGGTTAACATTACTATAAACATTTTGGCATGACATTTCATTTTCCGAAGATATACTTCGGAAGAAAATGTATTAGAGCATGCATGATAAAACCTTGACAGAACTAATAGATATTGTTTAGATTAGCAAATGCAAATAAGACATACGTGAATTCCCCATGTTAAATGTATAATCCAAACTTGAATAAGATATATATATATATCTTTTACTATGTTAATGATGTTTGTATGGAATGCTAGTATTTAACTTAGATCTTGTCAACTACGGTTAATTTTACTGTAGTGAGTAAGATTATGGTTAGTTTGTGCTATATAAAAGAATTAGTGGGCATTTGATACACACATTTAAATCTAAGATTATTTCGATAATGCATTTGTGTTTTCATGGATACAGCACAACCAATAAGATCATTCATCTCATATGTCAGTTCTTTCTGTGCTAAGAGAAAATTGCATTGCAAGTACCAACCATTGCAATGAAAAAAATTTGTGATTTTCCGAGTCAATTCCCAAGTTGCCCACTTCGCTGCATTGTGGAATTCGAGCCTAAAGATATTTGGATCCAATTTCGATCGAAAGAGACCGAATACATGACACGTTCTGACCCGATTACATATGAGCAACAACAGCTTGCATACAAAGTTTAATAATTTGCTCGTGAGAGAAGCGGTTCAGGTCAGTTGCACAATGTGATCAAAGTAGCCATCGAACAACACGTCAACATCTAGCCATTTGAACAAGACATGTGAAGAAGCAGGGGTGACAGCATACAAGGGAAAAAGTTAAAGAGCTGAGATTTGACTTACGCGCGAGAAGAGTGAAGAAAATACTCACGTACTTGCAGTTTCCCATGTCCAATTTTCATTGCGAAGTAAATTTTGAGTGAAGTGAGCTTGGCTCGGAGGAGGAAAGGTAGGACAGCGTCAGACTTACAAACATCAGGTGGATGCGAATACGAGTTCTGTGTTTGATGAACTATAAATAGATAATGTACTACAAATGTCGTCTAAATGAAACAATCCTTCCGCGTGCATCCATCATAGAACAACTTTCAAGTTGAACGAATATTGTTAACTGTCACCCGTGGAATCTATTGGTGGACATGTGGTAGTACCTCACATTGTTATGCATGAGAACGAAGCTGGAATAAAATTATATTTGTACCGGCGAAGGTAAAACATGTCATAATATTACAATCGATGTGTGTTTAGAGTGATTTGCCGATTTGATGGAGCAACTGTGCTTCGTACATCCGCGTTGTTTCGTTCTCCATGCTCAATGTCATCTCCGGGTGCTAGATAGAGGCTTCACTGTAAGTGTTGGTGTTTGATACTTTATTTCTAGAGAGGCAGTGAAGTGTTTGAACGATTTAATCATGTAAAGGTTGTGAGAATGAGGATTGAAGAGATCGAGGAATCCTTCACTTCTTAGGAGTCAAAACAACAGAGGTGCTACAAACGTCATGTCACATGAAGATGCTCTTGTGACTAGCTTACATAGCTAGGATTAGAAAGATAAAATGTATATTTGCTTCTTTTATTGCAGGGGTGCTTGGTAGTACAGATATCACCCTCAACATACTTATGTGACTCGCTTAGTTACCTAGGATTGGAAAAAAAAATGGGAGCATGTCCCTTTATTTCAAGAGCTGCTTGCTAATACACACATCAAGTATTTCAAGTACTATACTCACCGTCATTCTAGAAATTGATCCAACTTGTGAGATTCACGAAATAACTATCGATGCTAATATATATTTTGAAACAATCTTTCTGATCATTTGAGAATTGCTTCACATAAGATCACCCGTCATTCTATACATTGATCCAAATTGTGAGAATTACGAAATAATTTTTGATGCTAATATATCTTTTGATACAATCTTCCTGATCATTTGATAATTGCTTCACTTGAGAATTCAATCTCGTCATAGTTAGGAGAATTTACAAAATAAAGTGATAGTTTCACCTAGAGATGGATTTATCATCTATAGGTGAAATGACATTCAAATGGAGGTTGTAAGATGTCATTTATCATTAGTCAAAAAGTCAAATTTACTCCTATTGAAGTCTTCTATTCAAAATATCTACTATTGTTATGGTCATAGTGGACACACGATCTGATTTAAAAAATCCATGTTCTTAGCAGTAAGTAATACTTCAAAACAATTATGTGTATACATGTTTTGGCTCAATTCTTCTTGATGTAAAATTTATCTCCGCTTTTGCAATTGGAGACTTAAGTAAAAGAAATACAAATCATGAAGAAATTTGAAATAATTTTGGTTCAGCTCAGGAAACGATTGTAGTGCAAGTTTATTGATGATATTCTCTTGATGGATTTTTACCAGGCTTGTATTCGTGATAGTGACTCTTGTTGCATAGTTGTCATGGCAATTTTCACAATCATGATCAAGGATCTCAGGATACGATTGTAGCGCAAGTGTATTGATGATATATCTCTTCATGGATTTATACTAGAAATGTGTTCATGACGTATTCATGATAGTGACTCTTGTTGCATAGTTGCCATGACAATTTTCACAATTATGATAAGTATATCAGGAATTGATTGTAGTGCAAGTTTATTGATGATATTTCTCTTCATGGATTTATACCAGGATTATATTACTTATGTATTCCTGATAGTGACTCTTGTTGCATAGTTGCCATGACAATTTACACAATCATGATGAAGTATTCAGTTTTTTATCACCTTCTTGTGGTAGGTGATCAAGTTGAGAACTTATCAAGAACAAACAATTCTTGATATATTATAAATTGACGAAATATGCCATCTCTTCCAACAGCGATGACGTGTCCATGTTCGAGCCACCTGGCACGAATGTTTGCAAGGCCACGAATCGCCTCTCGAGATCCTGATCCTGTTTGACGCTTTCGACCTTGAAAGATCGCGAGGTCATGCGGCGGGGCCGAGCCAACGATTTCACCTTGCGCAGCACGGCTTGGACTTCCGTCTGACAGCACATCTGAGCAGGCGCCTCTTGCTCTTGTTCCTCAACGCCAGCTTCTTCAAAATCTACTGCCTGCTTGCTTGCATATAGCATTCGTGATTCCTATATAATGTATCATTTATTTGAGGATTTGTTCCTGCATACAACACAATAGATAGCCTTCATAGTTTGACAAAAAGATATGGCTGCTATAAAGACTAGAGAAGTGAGTTTGACATAAATAAAATTGAAGTACATGATGACAATGTGCTATGGTA